CCATTACGGACATGCCAGTACCAACAACTAAAGAAGAACTAGCAACGTTTTTGGGCATGGCTAGTTAATACCGAAAATTTTTATGTAATTTTGCGGATATAGCGGATCCATTATACAAGATAGTAAATAAAGAAAAATTTTAGTGGAATGACGTACATCAAAGATGTTATGATGATTTGAAGAATCTAATTAGTACACCACCATCGTTAAATTATTACAATCCAGATTTGCCGATAGGTATCGCGACGGATGCTTCGAAAAAAGGTTTAGGTGCTGTATTATTTCATATAGAAGGAAATGGCAAGGAGATGACTATAGCATACGCATCGAGAACTTTATTGAAAGCAGAAATTAACTATACAAATATCGAGAGAGAGGCTTTAGCAATAGTATATGCAGTGAAGAAGTTTCAGGAGTACCTCATAGGCTCCAAATTCGTCATTATAACCGATCACAAGCCACTCGTTTACATATTTACAAAAGGATTAAAAGATAACACCTCAATATCAATGAGATTGCAAAAGTGGAATTTGGCTATGGGAGCTTACGATTTCACGATAGTTCACAGAGCTGGTAATCGCAATACAATACCAGACTGTTTATCAAGATTACCACAAAGAAAAACTGAAGAGGGTATACAAAATATAGAAAATAATGAGATTACTAGTGATTTATGGGACATACCAATTAACTTTCAAAGAATAGTGAAAGAAACAAACGATGATGATGAATTAATGGAAGTAATAAATAACATCAAACATAGTGAAGATATAAAAAGCAAAACATACAAAAATATGGAAATGGAGTTGAGTTTGATAAAGAATTGCCTTTTTAAAGAAAACCGAATCATAATACCGAGGAAAATGAGAAATGAGATGTTAAAAGATTTACACAAAGGACATTTAGGCGCAGGCAAGATAAAATTATTGGCGAAAGATTATTTATGGTGGCCTGGTATAAATGCAGATGTAGATCAAGAGGTAAAAGAGTGTGAAGAATGTAACAAATGGGCAGACAATCCACACAATATACAAAATCCATGGAGAATCGCGACTAAAATTTTTGAACGAGTACATATTGACTTTGCACAGTTCGGAGATAATGATTACATGGTATTTGTGGACGCGTATAGCAAATTTCCAATAATAAAGAGAATGAAAAATATTACAACAGAATCTACTGTGAAAGAACTGATGAGAATAATAAGTCTATTTGGAATACCATATAACATCGTGACGGATAATGGCCCCAATTTCACTAGTCACCTATTTAAAAAAATTTGTGAGGATCATGGAATAAAACATATTTTGACTGCTCCACATCATCAACAATCCAATGGTCAATGCGAACTTATGATTAAATCAATGAAAATGAGCTTGTAGAGAAATGTGGAGAATAACACAAAAGTTAACGCCGACATAGCTTTAGAAAAATTTTTGTTTAATTATCGAAATACTCCAAATGCGACGACAAATATGTTACCAAGCAAATTAATGTTTTCTAGAAGTATAAGGACAAAATGGGATTTGGTTAAACCTATGGAGGAAAAAGATAACGTATTAAATCGCAAAATAACAGTAACGAGAAATATCAACGTAGGAGATAAAATTTGGTATAAAACGTTCAAGGAAAACATGTGGGATAAAGGAGTAGTGATACATAAAGATGGAAATTTATCATACAAAATAGATACTGGACATAATATAATAAGAAGACATTTGGATCAAATAAAAATAAGATCGACAAGTAATGATTATACGACGAGTGAACAAGTTTTTAGAGGGGGAAGAGGTCAGGAGCAAAATCAAAATCAAAATAAAGAACAAGATCAAGTGCAAGTGCAAGTTCAAAGCCAGATACGAGATCGAAATCAAAAACGTATTCAAGAGCCAAGTCGACAATACAATTTGAGACCGAAGAAATTCATTGATTATAAATAAACTATATAAAATAAAATATAATTTTTTTAGTTAAATTTGATGTTAGAACGAAAAGGTGCATGGACTTGGAATAAATAAAGAACTTAGTGATTACCTCAATATACGATACGAATGATGGGTACGATGAAGGGGGAAACTAAAAGAGAAGGAAATGTTATATTGTGGAAATAATTTAAATAAAATCACTCGAGGTGATAATGAAATATTTTATGTAAAAGTTAAAATCGATTTAAATTTTAAAGTAAAAATCAATTTAAAGGTAAAAAGTTAAAAATGATTTGAAATGGATGTATAACGATAAAATGTAAATAGATTATGTTTGAAAGACATAACTGTAGGATATTGATATATTATAATTTTTTGTATATATTGTTGTTTTTTTGTTATATGACAGTTTGAAATTTATATGTTATAATAAAAAAAAAGTTAAATATTTGTGTTTTAAATGTTTCAGCTTTAAATCGTATTAATTAATGTTTAAAAATGTGTCAACTTTAAATTATAAAATCTCATCCTTATCACGTATCCGAGAAATCGTAAAATTCTTATAGTTTTTATCTTATTTATTTATGAAATAAAAAAAACTAATTTGTCTAATTTATATTTTCTAAATTTATTAAAAATATCTATTAGATTATCATGGATAAATTAAATAAGAAATTATAAACTAAAAAGATTTTTCTCTAAAATTCATATATACATGGTTAATTATTAATTTTTTTTTTAATTTAATTTATAAAAACCAGAACAAACCGAAAAGAATCGTTATAAATTATATACCAGAACCGAACCGATATGATTTTTTTTTAAAAACCGAAATGGAACAAAACCTTTATAAAATTTTTAACTAAAAACCGGAACTAACCAACCATTATACTAAACGTTTCGAAACCCTGCAAAGAAGAAAATAGAAAAGAGTAAGTTTAGGAAAGATCCTTGGAAAGAAGACTGCCGTTGAATTGTATGTAATTAGCTTAAAAATAGCTATGGCCAAACTTTAGCTTAGGAAAAAACCTTCTCGAAGGCCTTCAGTATGGCTTTTGAAATAGAAGGTTTCATTACGATAGCCACTCATTTGGCTTAATTTTCTTAATGTGATAAATTTAAGGAATTCCTAACCAAAAACACATATTGTTGAAAAGTGGGATAAAAATTACGTTAGCGATGTATAAAGTATTTGCACTCTTTCTGCCAAATTAATTGCTGGGGCATTTATGTTAGATCGGGCCAAAAAATCAATGCATGTTTAATCCCCTCTGGAAGATCAAGGTATTAGGCCGCTTGAGCTAAGAGCTTTTGAGATTAAATAAATGTTTAATGTCGTGGGAGGCGGCCTTTGGAATATAGCTATACGAACTTCTTTATTAGTGAGAAACCCAAGATTTTTGAAATAGACGACAGCCATTTGTAGCCCGATTAATGAATAGCCTGGCTGGCACATTGATGGATGACTCAATAAAAGATAATCAACAAGGTGCAGGAGAATATCACCAGTTTTCTGAAGGGTAGATGTGGATCTGCTAATGGCAAGTTCAATTGCTAACCCAAGTGTGAATAACGCTTTTCAAAGAAGAAGAAGAGAAGAAGAAGAGAAGAGAAGAGAAGAGAAGAAGAAGAGAAGAGAAGAGAGAGAAGAGAAGAGAAGAGAAGAGAGAGAGAAGAGAAGAGAAGAGAAGAGAAGAGAAGAGAAGAGAGAGAAGAGAAGAGAAGAGAAGAGAAGAGAAGAAGAAGAGAAGAGAAGAGAAGAGAAGAGAAGAGAAGAATAAAAGTTTTTTTTTTAATTTTGGCATAGGCATAATTTGATCAAATTTCTCTCTTTAAAAAATACTTTGAAGATTTTTTTCAGACTCTGACAATTATAGAATATAGAAGCTATGAATGTGTTGCCAATATGTAATGCTTGATTAGTAGAGACCTTTGTTGTGAATGATAAATTTTTTAAATATTTTATACTTTTTTTCAAGATTGATTTTAGTGAAAATAAATTTTTACGTCAACAAGCCCTAAACACTGGGCATGTAGATTCAATTAGTTTGTTAAATCTCCTATAGTACTATTATTATTCCATTATTTTCATGGACAATGCTTTGATAGAGTATACCATTCGCATAAAAATAATTCATATAAAAATGACAATAGTGTAAAATATTTAGAAGTGGAACCTCGCAAATTTTAAATTATTTTGTTTTTTATATTATTTTAAGAATAAAACTAATTTTATTAATCATCCTTCCTCGTTTCGAATTTTTTTGCTTTTTCCAACTTTTTCAACAGTCCAATAAAAATTGGATCGGACTCGAACATATAAATATAGGACTCGAATCATTGAAATAAAAATGCTCGTGTCTGACAAAAGATTATAAATATTTTCTTAGATCGTTTCGAACCTGAAATATAGGCCTGGTACAGATATCTAAAATATATCTATATTATATAATGGAAATTAGAAGAAATTTTTTATGTGAAGAGTATAAAAATTGCCTCTGTTTAGAAATGGCCTAGAGCAGACACTGGCAAAAGCATAGTTTAAATAGACAGAAAAGGAAACCAAACATACGTTCTAGTGATAAATCAAACCTATTCATTATTTTTAAATTTTAGCCTAATTTACCAAAAAGAACATATAAATGGTTGATAAATATTATCCTTAAATTTTATTTCAATGTGATGCTGTTTTGCCTATAAAATTTATTTTAAAAAGCAAATAAATAAATTAAAATTTTTGTTTAATTAAATATCATTATTAATAACTTCTTTCCATTTATGGGTATTTCTAATTCTTTGGGAGTGTAAACAAAGATTGAGTTTTTTTAAAAATGTAATTCAGAATGTTTAAAATAGTTTGAAGATTGCAATTTCGTTTAACCAAAATATCTTAATTCTTTTTCTCTTTATTCTGATTCAAATAAAAATTTATTTTATTCAATGTGAATGTATATTATATTTATATTTTCATAATAATTGTTTTGTCGATAAAGATATTAATAAAATAATGATTGTATTTTACTATGTATACAGACATAAGTAAATCTTAATTTTAACATAAAAATATTTAATTACCTTTGATGTGGGCTAAATGGTTGCAAAATTTTACCAAATCAGGTTGTTTGTCTTTAAAAGAGTTAAGTCTGGGGCATTCGTCCTCCGCTCCTGACCATATAGGAGACGTTGCTAGATCTTCCTCTGCGGAATGGGCGGAACCGGAATAATGTTCGCTTCTTGTTATTCTGCCATCGTTGGTTACAATGGTGCCTGATGGTGGGAAAAAATAGCCAGTGTAACTTAAACAGTTAAGCGAAAATACATGAAAACCGAAAATGTTTCTTAAGTTTAGAGGAGGGTCGATAAGGTTTTTCGAGGCCTATTCGATCTTACTGATATCGACCCTCCAACATCAGCCGGTCCGATATAAACAATATCATTTTTTTATTTTCCTAATAAATATTTTTAACAATAATTATCATTATTCTTACTCATTTATTTAATAGTTAATAAATATTTTAAAATATACTATTCCTAATGTAAAATTGTAGGCTTATATTCTATTATAAATTTATGATGTCAAAATGTTTATCCAGGTGCATATCCAGCGGGGTAAAAATGAAGATCATTAAAATATTTTTAAAAGAACCTTGATCTAGATTTTTTGGCGTTAGAGATGCCTATTAAGAGTACTCTTAATGAAATGGGAAAATAGCCTTAAAAAACTTCTTCTACGACATAAACGCCTTGACATTTTTTTTGCATTCGTTATCAATAAATAATCTAATTATGCCAGTATTTAATGCAATCTCTTTCAAAAGAAATTATATTGATTTAGTAGACACCATTTAAAAATTGCATTAACAGCATGAAAATTGTAGAAGGTATTAAGAGCTTAAAGAAATTAATCAAATCATGAGATTGTTCAGTTCAAATCAGAACTTTATGAATTTGATGTATACATACCTATTATAAAATGCATCTCTTTATTCCTCCTTTTTGATCTAAACCTCGATTCAACCGAGCTAATAAGGACTTATATTATTTTACACGATATAAAAAATGAAATGCTCAGAATTTTTTTCCTTAATTGCTCAGAATTATAAAATACTTAAAGCTAAGAATTTTTACTCAATTCCACAGTTATTTTTCTTAAAATCTAAGATGATTTTCATAAGAAAACATCAAAATTTTCTCATCATTTTTTTATATTAAATTTCCAAAAATAATATTAAATCACTAAGAAATTTTTGCTATCAATATATTTTATTATCAAATTAAAGTTAATCGTTGGGGAAAGGAGTAGTTATTTTTTTATTATATCTTATTGATTCTAGATTCTTCGTTCTGATATAAATTTGAGTAATTTTAGTAATTTGCTAATAATCTTTTATTAATACCGGTTACCAAAAGGATAGAAGATTAAATAAATACTCTAAGAATTACATATTGGCCTTAATTTAGAATTAATAATTAGTTTGGAGAACATTATGCTTAAAATAAAACTGCTCTTCATATTAGTCAGATTCAAATAATATTAGTAACTTTTTTATTACAATCTTAGTGATTCTAGATCTTCATTCTGATATGAATTTGAGTATTTTGTTATTATTTTTTTAATACTGGTTATTAAAAGGATAGAAGATTAAATAAATACTCTTTAAGTATTAAATATTGGCCTAAGTTTAGAATTAATGGTTATAAAAATTTGGCGAACTTCATGCTTAAGACTGCTGCAAATATTAAATCATTTTATTTCTATATTTATTAAATAAATGGAAAAAAAAACATATAATTATTTAAAGTGATCATTGAATTAGAAGATTCAAAAATATTTTAAAACGAGGAAAAAGAAACTTTAATGTATTTAGACTAGTGGCATGGAACGGAACATTGGACATGTTCAGAGAACGGAAAGAAAAAAATTATGGAACGGTTATCAGGAAACGTTATTGGAACAGTTCTGGAACATTCCGAAAATAAATTTTAAATTCCAGCTTGCTTCTTATAACAATATTATTACGCATTATTTAGTGTTAAAACTTCTTTTTTTTAATCAAATATAAAATAATTTTCCTATTTAATTATAAAATTCCTATAATATGGTTTTAAATTACAATGAATAATCTGTAAGTTATGTAAAAATATGTTTTCCGTTATCAAATATATATTAATACCCCGCACATATATGGTTAATTCTATGACAAAGCCACAACGAGTTTCAACCCAACCCCCTAGTTTTTTTTCAAATTTTTCCTAAATTTTGTATATAACTAAGATAAAAATAAATTTGCAGCACATGTTGTAATGCATTGTATCACATTTCCTTCAATATCCACATTTCATGGGGAATATATTAATGATTGAAGCATATATGGTATAGTATAATATTAGACATTTTACAAGGTAGTGATAATTAAACTATTTTAAGTTATATTATAAATTTCAGAAGTAAAGGGGCCATTCCATAACAAATCGATCAAAAAAGTCACTTTTTCGGCCGACCCCTTTTAAAATTGTTAAAAATTTCTGGAATTATTTAGATAGGTAAAAGAGTGAGAAAGCCATTTATTTTAGCTCGCTAGCACACCTGGTTCTCGAGATATGGGGGCTCAAAGGTACAAAAAAGAGCCACTTTGGAATCTGTAAAATTTTTAAAATGATTATATCTCAAAAACTATTTATAGTAAAAAAAATTATAATATATCATTTTGTAGGTAAAGAAATTCTCTAATGGGCTAACAAAGAATAATAAATATTGGCACCATTATAGGCTTTAAACATCCGGTTTACCTAAATTGCTTTACCTGTATTTTTAAGCAAAATATTGTTGTTTTAGAATTTTTTTTTTGCTTTTTATTTAGACACCTTTTATAAATATATATACGATGTCAAAACCTTGGCGACGCTATCGACATTTCCTAAATATACATTTTTACCAAAAATTAAAGAAAAAAGTAGATGGCGCTAATGGTTGAAAAATATTATTCTTAAGGAAAATGAAAATATTGATACGTTGTGATAAAATTTTCCAGTTCTGCCCTCCCTTCCCCCCTCCCACTATCCTTAAAATGTTTTACATTTTTTAGATCTCTACTTTGCTACTATAGCGAGAGAATGACTTATTAGCTCGATAATATATAACAGCTGCAGTAAAAACGAATATTTTATTAGGCATATATTCGCTTATTTTTTACAAAATAAACTGTTTAAAACGATCTCACTTGCGAAATAATTTTAACCAGTCCGTTCAGATTAATTTTATCATCTGTCTACCAATAACAATCTGGATTTAGAGACTGCAAAAACATGTATTCTAGGTGTAGATCAATTAAAATTTTATTCTATATCACAGATGGACGTACCCAATATTAAAATGTTGCAACCCGTTTAATCTACAGAGACATGCTTATTATCGCGAGAATCTAAGAAAGATTCTACCCTGATGACCCAAAAAAATTTACCATTCAATTTAGATATGTTAATATGCTCTTAATGGCGACAAAAATTAGCAAACATTCCTTATACTTCAAATGACAATGTAGATATGGATTCTCTCCTTTATATAATTAATCAAGAGGCTATTGGTAACATTAATATATCCCTACAATCAAATGGGGAATCTCTCATTAAAAGAAAACGCTTATGTGAAAATATTCGAAGAAAAAAATATCTAGAGTAAAAAAAGTTTTAACGATAAAATTATACCATTATCTTCATCAAATGATGAAAAATTCGATGAAATTGTAGATACCTTAAAAATTAAAAAAATATATGAAAGATATTTATTATTGGAAATTTGTTACATTTAGCAAAGGTGTCTAAATAAAAAGCAATAAAAAAAATTCGAAAACAAACTCATTATTTTGCTTAAAAATACAGGTAAAGCAATTTAGGTAAACCGGATGTTAAAAGCCTATAATAGTGCCAATATTTATTATTCTTTGTTAGCCCATTAGAGAATTTCTTTACCTACAAAATGATATATTATAATTTTTTTTACTATAAATAGTTTTTGAGATATAAGCATTTTAAAAATTTTACAGATTCCAAAGTGGCTCTTTTTTGTACCTTTGAGCCCCTATATCTCGAGAACCAGGTGTGCTAGCGAGCTAAAAAAAACGGCTTTCTCACTCTTTTGCCTATCTATTCCATAAATTTTTAACAATTTTAATAGGGGTCGGCCGAATCGTGATCGATTTGACGTGGAATGGCCCAAAGGCGGCATATTCTTAATAAGAAAAATATAAGAAGCTGTAACTTCCATAAGAAAACATCAGATTTCAACCTAAAGTTGATGGAATGGGTTTTGCCCAAATTGTCCATTATGAGAACTGGCAAATATTTTACTAACAATTCCTAGTTCTACTTCTCCCTCAGAAAGAAATGGTCGCTTTGTATATCATAACCTAAGATTGATTAAAAATTTTAAAGAAACTGATATATTGAATATAACAGAACAAGACTGCCATGGAGAACAAAACCGTATCTATAGAATGAATTTAAAAAATATTATAAAATATAATATTACATAGATTCATTTTACTATTATATAAAAAATGGTTAATGTTGTCAGGCGTCGTATTTAACCGGTCAAATACATAATCTTGCAAATAATTATGGCGTATAATTTTTCAGTGGAGTTATCTTTAATAAAATCATATATATATATAAAAGCCCTGTCAAAGAAAAATTTTTATGTTTTGTGAAAAAGTGCAACAAACCATGAGGTGGAATCGAACTGGCAACTTAATACGATATGTATTGCCATAACTGATTACCATTTGGCCATCATGAGCTCTTATGAGTTATATATTTTTTATCTATATATTTCCAGATTATCATAATTATTAAAATTTTAGATTATAACATAACAAAATCTAACTGCCATATATTTTCAAATTTAAGATGGATCTTAATATTGGAAATAATCAGTCACATTGTAGTAACAAGGTATATTTTATGTTCTTTTTAATCATGAATTTTAATCAAACTGGGTAGCCCCCAACAATAAATTCTTTACTCTTTAACTTTATCAATAGTATTTCAAATTTTTTAATCAAAATGGATCTAATTACAAGAGAAGATAGCAAGGATGCTATAAGGAGACAGGCCTGTTATCTTAGCAAGAAAAGGGAACATGATTAAGTCGTATTGCTTCTACATCCAATCATCCAGAAGATACAGGAAATAAACAGGCAACTACTATTTTTATTAATGATCAATAAATTTTAAATAGGTATTCTTATAGTATTTTAAAATTTTCACAG